AAATAAAACCTTTTATTAATATTATATATGTGAAAAATATGAGTTTTTTGTTTGTTATGTTTCTTTGAGAGGTATTAACTGCTGAAACAATCATTATAAAATTTCGTATGGAATGAAAAAGGACACGGGCTTTTTCCCGATCACTCAGACGAAGTCGCGGATAAAGCCTAGTATATTATAATTATAAATTTTCTCTGCAATAGTTTACAACTTCCCATGTGTTATGCAAATATCATTTTATACATCCTATAGTCCTACCACACCATGGAACAAAGCCTGTTATCGTCGCGTGACTCATAATGTAAACATTCGATGCGTTTTATGCCAGGGCTACTTAGTCATCAGAGATAAACGCTGAGCTGATGAAATGCTACTGAGGAGGTATTTGCATACATGTACAGGCGCCTAGTAGGTGGTGCATAGCGATAAGTCAGAAATAAATCTTATTTACTCAATATAATATTGATCAATACCTTATATTTTTTATCAATATTTTGTTTTTTGAAGTCAGTTTGTAAATCACATCCATACGTAATGTGTCATTGGGGTATAGGATACATATGTTATATATATATATATATATATATATATATATATATATATATATATATATATATATATATATATATATATATATATATATATATATATATATATATATATATATATGGGATATAGGGATTTTTAACCGGCTTCATAAAATGGAGAGGTTCTTAAATTATTGGTTATGGTTTTCAAATGCTTTATATTTGTATAACTCCATCCATTTATAAATCGACCCGGAAAATTCTTTTTTATCTGAAAGGATTTATTGTTAGATTTGTACCATATAACTGTTTATTTACAACACATTTAAATTTTATAATGCATAATTACATTTCTGTTATGCCAAACGTTTACTGGGAGAGAATGCTATATATGCTATAGCTTTGAATCCGCCTTTTGTACTATTTTTTGTAATGTGGTTATTAAAGAATAAATAAATAAAAAGAAATTTGATCAAAATCGATTCACTCACTTTTGCTTTTAAGTCAATATCATTTTTCCGTGATTGCAGTTAGTTTTATTTTTGTAGAATGCAAATTTATATTATAAACTTTTTAACCGTTCAGTGATGTTGATCGTACTAAAACTACAGTATTATTATTCATTTACCACTAGTATGACATAATCGGTTAAGTTCGGTTCACGGTGGGCGGAAAATTTTGTTTATGGCCGTCGCCTGTGCGTGGCGCCATATGAGGTTGTATATCCCGAGATGACACCCGCCCACGTGTGGGTCATTGTGGAGTTCTTCGTCATCTATACACGATATCGTCATACTTTTTTTTTTAAATTTTACTACAAAGGTTTTTTTTTTTATACGACTTAGAATGACAAACAACCTGACGGCCCACCTGATGGAAAGTGCTAACCGTCGCCTATAGACATGAGCAGTACCATGGACATAACAGAGTATACTGTTTCGCCCATGATACCCCCCATACGTTGCCATTCCTGAGGACTCAGGTGTTATTCCTCTGTACCCAGTAAATTCACGCCATATCCCAACCTTTAAATCGAAACACAACCATGCAAACACAGCTGCTTCACGATTGAAACACGAATGGAACAGAGGTACCCAAGCAATCGACTTTTATACAAAGTCTCCCTCTGGGTTTCTGAATGCTAATGTAATATAACATAATTTCTGTAACTCTGTATTTTTGTGATAATAAATTAAAAAAAAGTACAATCTGTCTCTAAACAGTCACTATAGTCTATGGACACCTGCAACACTAGGGATGTCACTTGTACATTGTCGACCCTGAAGTAACTTGTAAGCAGTGGCAAGCTAAACTCGTGAGAGGTACGGGACAGCAAAGCTGAACGAGCTTGTTTAGGTAGTTTATATAATTTTACAAACTCATTTCAATTCACATTTATTTACAAATACAAACAGCCTTATTTTGTTTAAAACGTGCTATAAAGGATGGTACATAATATTTAAATATTGTTCACACTTTTCACCAGAATCTGGAATACAAAATTTATTTAATTGTGCTACCTACTATGCTATTTATTGCTATGTGTTATTTGTAAGTGTATTTAGTTAAAATCTTAAAAATATATAAAATACATAGAATATGGGTGAGGAAAATGGAGTTGTTTGATGCGAGCCTTCCGTTATTACCACTGATAAAAAGCTTCACTTTTTACTAGTTATTTCCCGCGGCGTTGCTCATGTGTACATAAAGGATCAGTATATAAGTGTGCACTAAATTTAGGACATAACTTACCGGTGTACAAAATTTAATTTAAATCACTTTAGTAATATTTGCATGAAAGAGTAACAAACATCCATTCATTCATATATTCATCCAATTTTTCAGACTTTCGCGTTTATAGTATTAACTAGCGCTCCAACCCGGTTTCACACGGGTAGATAGAATTTTCGAAAATATAATAATATACAAGTATAGCATATGTTACTCGCTGATCGCGTTCTGTCCGTGCAAAGTCGGGCCGGAACGCTAGTTTAAAATAAATTAAAAGATTACTCTAATGGGAATTGAATTCAGTACAATCGAACCTTGAACTCGGCCTACTATACCGACGTGGAGTTATTTATATGGCAAGTGTATTATAAATTTTACGGTAATAGTGCATTGACCACCGAATACTGTTTTAGAACTAAACAGTTTTATTTTTAGAAGACAAATTTAGAATTTTCTACCATTTGCATTGAAGCAATTTTGTTTTTTTCTTAACAAAAAAACAATTACATTAGTTATATTAATAAACTACTACTACTAGTGTTATTTAATTCATTATAATTGTTACTTCATTTTCTCGCACTGTATAACTATGTTAAAGTGAATGCTGTGAATACCTATAATAGGCGTGTGCATTAATATTGTATTGTATTTAATGTTTGTTATACCTATATGTTATAATGCAATATGCTGTTGGTGTTCCTTTAAATAAATAAATAAATACATACATGATGGAGAAAGTACAGGTTACTTTTATTCGGATTAGTAAACATATCCCGGTTATACGAAGGAAGTCGCAGGTCAAAACTAGTAGGATTATAAATATAAAAGGATTTGAACTCAAAAAATCCCATAGGTCGTTGAACAATTGATGTGAGTATTTGAGTAACATACTTTGTCGCCTCAGATCGTCCAGACGTCTAATCTTTCGCGTATCTAATTGGAAATTATTCTTAGAAATTAATTAATCACCAACCGCATGTAACATATCTTTAAAAGGGGGCCAGAAGGTGATTGCAACAGCATATTAATGTTTGTTAGTAATCATATCCAGTGAGATGAGTCAGCGGACTCCTGTCGAGGAGCATTTGTGATGCGTTTGTTCTTCATATTGGAAGCTTCAATCTTATAAACATTGCCTTATTGCTTAGTAAAATAATTTAACATTTTATCCCACAAAGGAAACAACGTACATAGACCGCAAAGGTGCCACGTAGTTGGACTACGTAATTACATGGACTTTATGTAGTTTTATGTTCATCGACAAAAAAGCATTTTAAGTTAGGGATTGTGTAAATGACAGGTAAATAGTGACTTGTGACAGCTTAATAATTGATACTTATATTTAAAAAATTATACAGGTTTTTTTTTTAATTAATAACAACAACATAAAATTCACTTTAACTAAATTTATTTAATTTTATAAAAGGTATAAAAAATTAATAAATATATATAATAATATTATAATATATAATATATATAATAATAATATTAATATTAATTAAATAATATTATTATATATAATATATATAATAATAATATTTATTTATTTATTTAAGAGTGGCAACATTAGTTACTATCATATTTTAGTAAAGTGTAAAAACAACTTTACTGCAATAAAGAGAATAAATAAAAATAAAGATAATCAGCAAAGAATAATATATTTTATCTAATAATCAACAATTATATCGTCATAGTCGTAGAATACTGACGGATCTTTATATGTAATCTTTGTCAGATCCGTCAGTATTCTACGACTATGACGATTTATGAACATCTAGTTACCATAGCAACCTAAACACAGATGTAAAACTACACTGAATTAAGATCACTAGACGTGCCACATACTGGAAGTGTTTCTATAACAATAAACATTGCACTGATAAGTATGGGTCATCACCGCATGTGTAAAGGAAAAGTAATAGGTAATATTACGAATACCAATGTGATGATATCTATAGATATCAAATTTGACAATAATGCTACTTTGTGCTACCTGTTCAGATAAGTCTTGATAATCGCATTTAATTTATCAGATTTATTTCATTGAAACTTAAAATATGTTAATATTATAATATTAAATTATCTAATTCGAAATAATACCGACTTTTTAATTTGCTATCATTTATCTAGATTGTGTTCCACAAAAATTAAAAACGATTGCAATTGTGTCAATACAAGGTATTTCTATTTTAAAACTAAACTACTGAATCGAATTTACTGAAAGAATTTTCAAAATTGATTTACAACTGATGGAGTTATGAGGTTACAAACATAAAAAAATATAACCGAATTGAAAACCTCTTTTTTGAAGTCGGTTGAAAATACGATAATACATTTATTACTAATCCACATATTATAGTAATGCTGTCATTTGAGGAGTATTTTTTTATTATTATTATGTTGGTGTTCTATAGTATTTTTTTTATATAAGTTTAAAAAAACTTATTCAATATTTTTTCTCAAATATATTATTGTGAAAAAAATATTGAATTAATCTTTTGATATCTTAAATAAAATATTATGTATTATACAATATCTATATATGGTTGGGAGAGAATGCTTTTAGCATTAAATCCGCCTTGTACACATACATGTACTAATGAATAAATAAATAAATAATAATAAATAAATAACATTTGAATTGAAATATCTGTATAAAATTTATTGTACACTCTTTATTAAACCAATCACCAATTGTTATAAATTTGTCTTTTTCATCGCTTTTCTTTGGATTTGGAGCAGCACTGGAAATATGTTAAGGTTTGTACTATACACGGCAATTTTATTAATTTAATTCCCTTTTTTTACTTTCGTCCTTCATTCATTCTTTCATTCATGGAGTATTTTTTTTTAATCACACTCGATATCAATCTATTGTTATAAGTTTACGAATTCAGAATGAGTACCACTAGTTGGCGCCACCGACGCTAAAACTGTATGAGAAATGTTTAGCAATTTATTTTAATTTTTAGGAAATAACTTTCAGATTGTCACAATCTGAAAGTTATTTCCTTAGATTATATAGATCCATATCGAGCCTCAAAAACGGGTCTAATTTTTGTCAGCCCATTGTCAAATTAGCTGACTAACTGAATATCTTGACTATTATTTAATAAATAAAATGAGTGTTTATTCATTAAAGGGATGCAGAATTTACAAAACAAAATAAATATAGAAGTTGTAAAGGAATCACTTATAACTATTTTTCACGCAAAATTGTATGAAATTGTTGACCCGTTTTTCTCGAAGCATTTCTGTGGAGACACTCATATATATAATCTAATGTTATTTCATATAAATGAAGAGTAGGTACTATCCAATCTATGTTAATAGGATACATTTACATTTTATTACATTTTGTTTATAAATATCTCGGCTCAAATTCTTAAATTTGAAGTTTACTGTATGTGCTTCTGTTAGTTTCTTTTCAGTATTGATGTCATATTCATGAAATTCATCTTTGCATATTCATCAATATTACATTCCTTCTAAATGATGGACTTTTGGAATCTTTCCTTAGCAGATCATAGTCATAGCATGTTTATCATTTCCGATCTTCTCTTCTATTCTATCTTGCTTCAAATAGGATGTTACATACTTATATATACACCAAACATAGTGACTAGTGTCAGGACCATGAATTCATAGGAAAATATTACATAAACGTAACTTGTCTCCTAAATTCAAAAACGAACCCAGCTTAGGAATTTTTGACACCAGAGGCGTCCAACATCACACAATAAAAATGAATAAAAATGTAAACAAAGGAATAATTGACCAGATCATAAAACAGTAGATTGTTTTATTAAATATTTCAATCCGTTACTAATTTCATTTAGAAAGTATTTTTGTGTCAATTTCAACAAAACTTGGTTACATTTTCATAAAGAATTATCAAAACAGACTATATTTAGTAGTAGTATGTAACAAAACATTTCATTATGAAAAAGTATCGGTGATGTTTACTAGATTAACTTCGATCCCCAAAGTTATATACTGTTATTGAATTATATACTTTTATCCTTATATCACAGTTTATCTAGAGCCCAAAGTTTGAGATCTTCTTGACATTGTTAGTAATGTTGGCGGATTCTTACCCAGGTGTTATTGTATTTTCTCCCCACGCTGCTCGGACAGACTTATACGAGGTTGCACGTCTGTGAGATCGTGAACAACCAGCCGTGTTGTCCACCGCAACAAGTAAGTTTTGATGTGGAATAAACCAGACCTAGAAATCGTCATAGTCGTAGAATACTGACGGATCTTTATATGTAATCTTTGTCAGATCCGTCAGTATTCTACGTCTATGACGAAATAATGACATTTATCTGCAATCCAGAAATACTCGGAAATCAGTTTTGGTATTTTCGAAAATTTTGCAAAAGTTGCAAAAATCGCAACCTATTTATGACTTGAGAAGTCTTAAGAAGAGTTTATGCTTCGTAACAAAAAAGAAAATGGCAATTTCAATAAACGACTGAATATTTTTGTTATATTAAATCTATAATAAAATTATGATATGATATTGTAAATGAACGTTTGTTGTAAAAAATCTTTAATGTAATCCTCAATGTTCAATTAATTTTATACACTTGCAATATTATTAATAAATATTTATAAAATCATTTAACATACACATATTTCGAAAATCTTATCATGATTCTACAAATAGACATTGCTTCGGAAGAAACAAGATTATGGTTTAAAAAAAAAAATAGTAGTTTCAATCGTCACAAAAATAAAATAGAACCAACACGAAACTAATAACTACCAAAACGTTCTTGTGTCAAAAGTTTTCTCGAATATCATTTAGAATTCCGAGTGACGTGATAAATTATGCATAGAAATCATTAATTTAATCATTTAGATATACCATTTTCTCTGTAAATAATCTGTAAAGTAATAAATTTTTTATTTTTATCGTCGATAACAAATACGTTATATTAATAATAATGAATAATAATACTATCGTAAGGTACTGGTTTATTCTACGTTCTGTCAGTTGTCGTTATTGGCTTATACTCGTATTTCTGCAAACAAGAATCCACAGACTGGAATTTGTTTTAGTTTCTCATTAATTCGCTTGAAGAAATTTTCTTTGCATTTTTTTTTAGTTTTCTACTTTATTCTTTTTGTTGATTGATTTTTTTTTTATATTTGCGCCTTCCTTAGGTATATTTTTTTATTTTGTTTCTATCAAGGAAACAATTTTCATAGAGTCGTTGATGTGTCGGAAATTCTAATGATTTTTTATTCGTTTATTTAATTCGATTTGCTATGGCTTTAACAGTAATGGCTTCGTTTTACTCATCGATTTATGTTTTATTACTTTTTGCTTCGTTTTTCTTTGTTTTGTAATTGTAGTCATTTAATATTTTAAATTTTTTGTAATTATGCGATTTTATGATAAAATAAGTAATATCTCTGAATCATGATGCAATACGTGTATTGATTCTATTTTAATTTTCTATAATACTATCTGTTAAGTCCAGGTTTGTAGATATAATGGTGGAATTGAAATGATCAGCGTATCAAATATAAACGAATTTCATACTTTCCAGTAATAAATCTGACCATATCCCCTAAAAAATATGCATCGAAAAATACAGAATGCTCTCTTATAAGAATGTTAATCATTCATTTTTGTGTAATTAGATACCTTTGGTCCGCAATGGTTAGATACTAATAGTTTTTTTTTTAATACTTAAAACGACAACGAAATATGCTGACTGTCCACCTATTGAAAAGTGGTAATCGTTGCCTAGACGTGAACAACTACGTACATCACAGAATGCGTTTCCATTCCTGAGGACTATGGTATTATGCCTCTGTACCCAGTAATTTCATTAATTATTTCGATTATTACTGACAATCAGAGTATATATAAATTAACGAAATGGTCATATTTTGTTAGAAATCGCCTTTAAAAACATTTCTAACAAAATATCTTCAGTCAGTTGTTATTTTAGCACGGAATAATATTTTTTCTTTATTTTATTACATTTTGATTTAGCGGACATGTATGAGCAAAATAGAACATAGCAGATAGGAATTAGCAGCTGAACTTTAAAAAAAGAGGCGGATATAAAAGAAATATAAAAGGAAAGGACGCAGTGTCACAGGCTTTTATGGCTAAAAAACCCTTTCAATAATAATAATATATCATAGTTATTGAATTGTAAGACCGTTGAAGTGTAAAATATTTTATTGGAGTATTAATGTGCTAATATTGTGCGCAGGTGAACCGACTTGTGAACGACCTTTTCGAAGACCTTCGTGATGGACTCAGTCTCATCTCCCTGCTGGAGGTGCTTTCTGGCGAACACCTCGTAAGTATTACTTTTTTTTTAATTAATTTTTTTTTATACAACGTAGAATGGCAAACAATCTGACGGCCCACCTGATGGAAAGTAGTAACCGTCGCCTATAGACATGAGCAGTACCATGGACATAACAGAGTGTACTGTTTCGCCCATGATACCCCATGATACCCATGATACATGATACAGGTGTACCTCCTCTGTACATATATTATATATTATTATATAAGGGGAAATATTAGATTTGTTTATAATAAATGAACTCAAGTACTCAACACATTTTAAAAATATTTTTACCTATAAAAGCTTATATTATCAGCGAATAACATAAGTTGTATTTTATTTAAAAAAAAAAAGAAATAGAATTCCGGTACCTGAGCGAAGCCTCGATGATCGATATTTTCCACCCGACTAAATCTCCAATCATCCAGACTTGAACCGCGATCTTCGACATTACGACGTTTTGTTGACAAAAACATAAATCATGGTCAGGCCTTATAAATTAATCATAACGTTGGAAAATTAATTAATTAATTAAATGAATTTAAACAACACATAAATTGTAACTTATTGCCGAATATTCTATGTTATTCAAAATATTTGTGGTGACCTTTTGATGGACATTTTGGCATTAATGATTGAGGAAACGTGTATATTATTTATCGACTTGTAACATTATATCATAACAATTATTCTCGTGGTTATAGATATCTTTTTATCCGACTTAAAAAAAGTAGGAAGTACTTAATTGGGCTGTATTTTTTGTGTATACTCGTATATGTTAAATTAAGGTTAAACTATATCTCTATCAATGCAGAATCGATATTGATGATACTTTTTGTTTAATGCTTCTTTTTGAATCGATGCGAACTTGTCAACTTGTTGCAGATTAAATATACAGGGTTTTTTTTTATACAATTTAAAATGGGAAACAAGCTGACGGCCCACCTAATGGAAAGTGGTAACCGTCGCCTATAGACATTAGCCGTACCATGCACATAACAGAATATACTGTTTCGCCCATGATACCCCCCATGCGTTGCCATTCGTGAGGACTCGAATGTTATTCCTCTGTACCCTGTAAATTCACGCCATATCCCACCCTTCAAACCAAAACACAGCCATGCAAACATAACAGCAGTATATTAATAGCAATGGAAATTAAAATCCCCATAACTACCAATCCTCTCCCCAATAATTAACGAAACATTTATTTCTTAGTGTTTACCCCTAACTTAGAATTTTTTTTAACTATTAGAGTATTATGACCACTGTCTTTCAAATTTATAAATTAGTTAAAAATACTAAACAGTTAAATAACTAAAATAAATAAAAAAAAAACTGAAATAGTTCTTTTTTTATACCACGAAGGTGGCAAACTAGCACTCACCCCAACTGATGGTAAACGGTCACTGTAGCCTATGGACTACACTACTACAACATTAAGGGTGTCATGTGCGCGTTACCGACCCTGAAGAAATCTTAATACACCATTTTTGAAGAACCTCGTTCTGTAGTCTCTAGGGAAAACCTCTGCAGGGAGCTCATTCCATAGCCCGAGGTTAATAAGAGGTTTAATGTTTTTTCATAAAAACGTCCAATAAAATAAGAAAGTCAGTGTATTGTTATTTGCGCAATTTGATAATAATTGGATAAGCCGTTATGGCGCCAAGAGGTAAGAAACAAACATACTATTACATTTAGAATACTAGTAAGGATTTAAACCCATTTAATCCAGTTCAATCGTGCTGATACGAGATAGGTGCGGCGTCGCCGGAAATGAACCTAAATACCGCGCCCTGAGTATTTGGGTCAACATAGGTCAAAGATGCCGTATAGGGGGTAGGTCTTTTGTAACGGCTCGAATACATGAAAGGATTAATAGGTAAAGTTCGTTAATTAAGTAATTTGTTCAATGGAAAGCAGCTTATGGGGAATTTCAATATCTACAGAGTGAGATCGAAACATAGAAAGTACAGTATGGGGTTTTTCAAAAAGAGTGTATTAAAGTTTCTTCAGGATCGCCAACACGCACGTGACAACCCTAGAGTTGCAGGCGTTCATAATAGTTGGACATATAGTATCGAGTTTTTATAGTTATTGATATTTTCTTCAATATTGTAGTACATATTTTTGTTCTATCACCAATAGTTTCCGCAGCGCACGCGACGAAAGATATTTTATAGCATTTTTTTTACACCTTAAGTTACGTTACTAAAGTTTTAGTAAAGATCCCTAATGTTTTCTAGCAATAAATATAGTCTATGTTACTCAGGGTGAATGTAGCTTTCTAATGGTGAAGGAATTTTTGAAATCGGCAAAGTAGTTTTTGAGTTCATTTATTACAAACATATATATACACACAAAAATACAAATCTTTCCTCTTTATAATATTAGTGTAGACAAACAAACAAAAAAAAAACAAATCTTTCCTTTTCATAATATTATTTTAATAATATTTATATAGAATGATGAACAAGCAGATGGCTCGCCTGATGGAAAATTGTAACCTTCGTCTATAGGCGGGAACAGCAACGTGGGCATCACAAAACATATCCATTTAATCTCATGTATTGCTCACCGATTTCAATGATTCTTTTTGTGACCAACACGGTTTACCTCATGTACTCCTAAACAGATTTCATCGCTAGCGAGGTCTGGTTTTTTTAAGAAAAATTCTAAAACGATCTTTCGTATCTTTTTTAAATTGTGAAAAATATTATGTATGTATGTCTTTATGTCATAATCTTGCTGATAACGATGACTTTTATTTTTTCCTGACATGATGAAAAGTGATTTATTATTAATTCTTGCTGCGTAACCCATTACTTGCTAAATAATGAGGTGTACTCTATTTATATTCACATAGTTAATATTGAAATTATAAACTGCACGTTTATGGTAATCTGTAACCACATAGCGCCCGCCCATTGAATAAATAACAAGAAAGTTTTGCTTAGCAAAAAAACCTTAAACTGAACTATTATATTAATTACATTTGCTTTTAACAACCATCAGGTGAGCCGTATGCTTTATTGCCAATTAATTGTAATTAATTATAATATTATATATATATATATATATATATATATATATATATATATATATATATATCATGTCTATCGGCGACTGTTACCACTTTCCATCAGGTGGGCCGTCAGCTTGTTTGCCATTCTAAGTTCTGTGTTGTTGATTTTTCGATCGCGTAAATTTAAAACCACAAGAAGCATACTTTATAGTTTAGAAAATGTCATTTTACCTCGTTATACAGAGGTTTTTGATGCAAACAACGTGTAAAATTATTAATGAATTACAAGTCTTTGGTTTTTTTTTAATGGGTGATAATGGAATGGTAGCCCCGCTTGTGTTATCAATATGCGCTGGCAGGGCAATGAGGGATTATAGGTTAGAATGAAAGAAGGTCAGGTTTGATAGATGGATAGATACTTTTTATAATATTTTGATCTCTTTGGGCACATTTATCCCCTTGTCGTCCATATAATGGGGATGAAATTCACACGGAGTCTTTTTATTCCACGAGACCAATCAAAGCCCCTACTAAACATTACCTTAATTCTATTTCCAGCCGCGGGAACGAGGTCGTATGCGCTTCCACATGCTGCAGAATGTCCAGATGGCATTGGACTTCCTCCGGTACAAGAAGATCAAGCTGGTCAACATCAGAGCGGAGGACATCGTCGACGGCAACCCCAAGCTGACCCTCGGGCTTATATGGACCATCATCTTGCACTTCCAGGTCAGTGGGCACATTATTCCCCTTCCCTGCTTTATGCTGCGATTGAAAGAAAGAAATTTTTTATTGCCATCATTATAAAATAATATTATATTTATTAAAAATAAAAAAAACTTCACGTTTGTTGTTGCCAGCGTAGCCGCTACTCAGCATGCGTTGCAGCAAATTATGCGTTGCAGCATCGCTGATATTCTGTAGTAACCATATTGATATTTTTTTTTATATTTACTTTGGTAAATGTTCTTTAAATTGTGAACTGGGTCGTTGAGCTCTCAAAGATGTAGTCCTGTCAAACGCATGAAGTTGAAATAGTCGATGTTTTTTGAAATTTTCCAATTTTCTGTATAACGTTCTTAATTTTTCTTTTCATCAGAACCTTCCACAAAGTGTTATATAAAATCTAAAACAACTCGTTTAAGTCTTTGTCAAGTTATATAGGAATACACCTGCAATTCGGATTTACCCCCTTCGTTATAACAGTGTTTAACATTAAAATACTATTTTTATTGACATATTAGTAAAAAAAAAATCCTTCAATATTTTATTAAAAAATAACTGCTTGTAATGGAATTACATTTTCTTGACAGGTATATATAAGTTAACATTGAACCTTGAAATAGGTTCAACTTTAACTTATAAATACCTAATAATAATATTTTAATATTCTACTGTTCTTAAACAACATCGACCTCTCATTGATTTTTTTTTGTAACCTAAGGTCGTCAAAGGTAATTTCAGTCCAATTTTCTGTCTAGATTTTATGATTAGTACTTGAATAGTTTATAAAGAGCAAAGACTAGGGGTGTTTGGACTCTATGAACCCCATGACTTTGTCCTTCAATCAATAGGACAACACTTAGTAACCCAACACTAAGTGCTGTAACTTGACTTGTTTTTTTATTGTTTGGCATAAGTTTACATCTGTTCCTAACAGATCCATGGTATTATTAGTAAAGCGGTTAAGTCTTTGACAAATCTTTGAATTGATTTTATGTTTGTGACCTCATAACTCTGTCAAGTATAAACCGATTTGGAAAATTATTTTTTTTTTATCGCTAAGGATCTTTTCAGATTTGTTCCAGAGCAATTTTACCAAAAGCGTTTCGGTAGTTTAGTTTTTTAATAAAAATAATTGATTTTGCCACCATGGAAATCAGTTTTTTTAAAAATCTTATCTCGTAAATAAATATATTTTATGTAAAAAAAATTATATATTATTAATAAGTTTAGATAGGTAGCAGTCAAACTAGGTCTAAAAATAATTTCTTAATATCTAATGTCTAAATTATTCATCGAACAATGGCTTAGGATATTTAAATTTAAAATATATTAGAGGTAACTGTCCGAGGTTTACCTGTTAAGGATAAAGGTTAGTTACATCTTAAATTAATAATTTTAACTATTTGAAGTTGATTCTTTTTTTTTTTTGTATTTGTTACTTTTATTAGATATAAATAAAAATGACATTTGATCCCGGCATAGAATGAGCCAACGGTTAACTGTCCATTGTTAAGCATAGACCTCTTCCTTATGGTGGGTTTTGTAAGTAGCTGCCACGCTTGGCAGGCGGGTTGATAACTGCAGTTAGACATTGGTGATTTTTTTTAAGATAATATTTATTATTATTATTTGGAACAAAAACATTGGTTACAATATTATTAAAAAACGATGATATCCGCAGAAGTATAAAACTGTGTCGCGAATATCAACGCCCTCCTCCTCATTGCAGGATTCCAAAACAGACCAATTAAAACGTATAACGTAATAGTAGTTAGTTACATCAACGAAGAAAATTTTTTGTATCTATCAACTAACTAACTATAATACTAATAAACTGCAATAATTTAAAAAATTGAAAATTTAAAAGCAGTAGCTTACATGTTAATTTAAAAAAAAATTGTGTGTGTGCGTGTATGTGTGTGTGTGTGTTTAAGAGAGACACTGCTGCCCATCCCTCGACCATGATGTAATTATATATAGTATTGCAGCCAAATTATATAGATATTTCTATTTTTTTTTTTTGATGGGTGAAAATGGTACGGTAACCCCGCCTGCGCTAACGGGATACGCTGGCGAAGCACCAGTGAAGGGTGATAGATGAGAATGAAAACAGGCCAGTTAGCCCGTCATGATGAATTTATCAGGAATTAACCATGATAGTTTCCAGGGGGAACCGCGAGGAGGTCGACCTGGTTGGGTATATTGCTAGCAATGGGATTCTCACTCTCCATAACTAACAATCCCTTTCCCCCCTACATTTTATTATTGACTGGTTTAATCTGATTAGATAGAATACTGATTTTAGTTGTTTCCTTCAGTTGTGAGAATAACAACAGTTTTGTTGCGTCCATAATACCTTATTTGGTCGCATCGTTGAATTTAAAATGTGACAAGAAAGTTCAATAGCAAATACGCGTGTGTCGTCGCCATGACATGGATATCTAGCATTCAGATCACTCAGTATTACGTTATTTGTTTTTGTTACCGCGCACAGTGATATATATAGGGTTGACACAAATTGTTTTATTGTGAAAGTAATGTAAATTGTTTTCGACAGCAATTTCACTTTTATGCAAAATTATATAATATTTTTGTTTAAATCTGAATTATGCAACCATTCGATGATTAAGACGTTCTATTACAAATATAGAATGTGTCCTGGTCACATAGCTCGAAGAACGGACAACCGATCGGCCGAAAGATTCTTGAGTGGCGATCCTCTACGAACCAGTATATACCAAACGCAGAGGGTTCCCTTCCCCTCCTACTAGATAGAGTGACGACCTCAAATGCATTGCAGGGTGTTAGTAGATGCAGTTGGCACAGGATCGTTCCTTATGACGATCTCTGGGGGAGGCCTATGTTCAGCAGTGGACAGATAATGGCTGAAACGGTGATGATGAAGACAACAAATATCATTTGACTCTGTAAACATTTCTCCTGTGTTCACTGCAGCTAGTATTTGAACTACGCAAACACTTATTTAATTACGTCGCAGTAATAACATCCATACTCCACTGTTATTCAAGTGTGAATTTTTTCCACCTATCTCCGCCATGAAGCTTTTAGTAGTATAGCTAGCTACCCCGTGTTTTCTTCTTCTTTTCTTTTATTCCTATTTTATTTTAATATAATTAAAATTGTGTTCCACAAAAAGACCGACTTCATTTATGGCAAAACCAGTTATGATTTTAAATCTAAACTACTGAAACGATTTTGATAAAATTTCTATGTTACCAATCTGTTATATCCTTCGGATAAAAATATCCACGATTTAAAAATGGCGAAGTTATGAGTTAACAAATACAATTAGAAAACTATAACCGAATTGAGAACCTCCTTCTTGAAGTCTATTAAAAATATACAGAAGTCAGTGTTTTGTATTAAAATAAAATAAAAAATCCCTAACTTCAAGTGGGATATTGTTGTATTACTATCTAGATCTTGTAGTACTGTTTTTTTTTTTTTTCATGCATATTTTTATATGTATTCACTAATATTTTACTGAATTATTTACAAATATTTCTCAATCACATAACCGTCAGCGTTCTATCCTAAAATTTTTTTTTAACAATTTTAATATTTACTAATTCGGAGGTGACAACCCTAGAGGCGTTTTCTAGATGCTGCCTATAAACAGCCTTGTACATTTGCCCTTTCCGCTAATAATATACGGAGCGTCATAGTGTTTACGTGATTAATCGACGCATTTAAGGACAGCTTAATCAAGATTGAATGAATCCAACGAGAATTTGCCTACAAAAAATCTACTATTGGATTTAGATACAGAAATTTGCTGAAGTAACATTGTATGTATGATCTAGGCATCCATTGAGAACATATTTAGTATAGTTATTAGGTAGGTACTAGCCTTTACCCGCGACTTTTTTATTATACAACTTAGAATGGCAAGCAAGCTGACGACTCACCTGATGAAAAGTGGTCGCCTATAGACATGAGCAGTACCATGGACATAACAGACTACTGTTTCGTCCATGATACCCCCCATACGTTGCCATTCCTGAGGACTCAGGTGTTATTCCTCTGTACCCAATAAATTCACGCCATATCCCACCCTTCAAACCGAAACACAGCTATGCAAACACAACTGCTTCACGGTTGAAACACGAATGGAATGGACTTCGTCCGATCGATATTGAAATCGTTACTGGATCAATATATAGTTTATTATATTATTATTATATCAGCCTTTAAGTGTCCACTGCTGAACATAAGCCTCTCTCTAGGGGGGTTTTGCCAATAGTTGCTACGCTTGGCAGGCGGATTGGCAATCGCAGTTAGGCTTTGGAGATGTTTTAAAAGGGACGCTGCTGCCAATCCCTCGTCCTCCCTTAGTCGTCTCTGTTTACGACACCCACGAAAAAGGAAGGGGTGGTCTATTCTATGTTGGAACCAGAAGGAAATAATGCATTTTACAGTAACAATTGAGTATTCACGCCCTGGCACTATTTTTCTATATTAAAATTGTTTACCAATCTATACCCTTATAACAATGTGTTGAGAGTTTGATTTTAAAATCAACTATTTTTTAACCGACTTCGAAAAAGGAGGAATTTTGACTGTTTCTTTTTTAGGTATGTCTACCAGTCTTTAGATTCTTTGTAGTTTAAATTATAAATTAAAATTGCACTAAAATCTATTACAAACATAAACTTGAATATTTTCTGTGTGTAATTGATTTGTTATTTGTAATAGATCAACCTAAAAATATTTAAACGATTTCTAAAATTCTTTCACCTATAGAAAGCTACATTATCAGCCAGTAACGTGGAATGGATTTTATTTTCAAAAACAAACGTCCGTGACTGAGCAGGGTCGTTTTTGGGATAAACCCAGAATTAAGATACTTTCAACCGGGTTCAAAAAGAAGGTAGTTCTCAATTCGGTTGTAATTTTTTTTGATGGGTGAAAATGGTATGGTAACCCTGCCTGCGCTAACGGGATATGCTGGCGGAGCACCAGTGAAGGGTGATAGATAAGAA